GAGGCCCCCACCGGCCCTCCGAGCAGCGCCTTACCTGGCATTTCTGGCCTCTGGCGCTGAGAGAGAGGGCATTCTGTTGTGGTAAGCCCCCAGCCTGCAGCATTGGGTACAGCGCGTATCCGTTCTCTGGGGCAGCCTCACAGCACCACACACCTGGTGGCTTAACACGACAGAAATGATTCCCTCCTAGTTCTGGAGACCAGAAGTCCACAGTCGAGGGGTTGGCCGGGCCGTGTCTCCCTGATGACTCTAGAGGGGAAGCCTTTCCTTCTCTCGCAGCTTCTGGGGGCTCCAGGCGTCCCTAGCTCACAGCTGCACCCCTCCCAGCTCCGCCTCCGAATCACATGGCTTCCTCCTCTCCGTCACAAATACCCCTCTGCCTGTCTCTCGCAGGGACATCCGCCTTTGCATTAGGGCCTGCCTGACAGTCCAGGCCGATCTCATGGGCACATCCTTGACGCTATCCCATCTGCACAAGCCCTTCCCGGTAAGGCCGCAGTCGTAGGCTCCAGGTCAGTGCATCTCCTGGGGGCATGATTCAGCCCACTACGGGGTGGGCACCATGGGGAACTAGCCAGTGGCTAGTTAATCATATTTAGAAGTTAGGATTTATCCTGAGGGCTATGAATGATTGTAAGGAGGGTGCCATTCTCTTACTCGTTTTCTAACAACACAGTCATGCAGCACTTAACTGAGTGCTGGGCATAGTAACAAGTGTTTTAGGTCTGAACTCATTTCCTCCTCCTGGCCAGCCTGGGAATCAGGTGTTGATGTGATCTCTCTTGACAGATGGGGGAGTGGAGGCCAGGAGAGGCTGGGTCTCTTGATCGAGGTCACACAGGGAGCAGAGGATGGAGGCAGGCTTACTACCTGAGCATTATGGGAAGATCCCTCCACAGCAGGATGGTGACTGGGTGGGGCTGGGACCAGAGCAGGGGCCAGGACAGGGACCATGCCGAGGAAAGAGTCCAGAGAAACCTGGGAGTAGAATGACAGAAACTGAAGATTGGTATGGAGGGGGGCCCAGCAAGGAGTCACTGAGTGTCTCGGCTTATGCTGTGGAGCGAGCTTCCAGGGCCTAGAATGAGCACCTCTGCCCGGCAGCAGCCCCCAATAACACGCGGGGCTGGTGTGTAAATGCCGTGGCACCCCGGCTCCTGGAGGGGAGGGTGCTCTGAGCCCTGCAGCCCTCTCTGGGATTAAGCACCAGCTGCCGCCAGGCTCACTTGTTAGGATTTCCCCCCTTCTCCCCTCACTTTCCCCTGGACCTGCTCCTGGTTCCTGGCACCGCTTCCCAAATAAGCTCTCTGAGCTGAAATCTTTATCTCAGAGCCTGCTTTTGGGGAAGCCCACACAAAGACAGTGACTAGCCATGCTAGGGGACAGAGGGGCAGGCTGGAGGGAAGCCCCTCCCACGACTGGGAAAACTCCAGGCATTCCTGCCCAGACCTTAGTGACAGGGCCCCTCCCAGCCGAGGCAGGACCCTGCAAGTGGGGCTCCAAATCTGCTTGGCACCCGCCTCGAGAGGAGGGGTTGGTGGCTGACAGAAGCTCTCATACAGGGCTGATGGGAGTGGAAATCGGTCCACTTCTTTGGAAAGTATGTCTACGTAAGCTGAACATCCGCCCACCCTCTGACCCTGTACCTCCTCTCCTGAGTATACACCTGGGAGAACTGGACTCACACGGCCAGCAGAAAACACAAACAAGTATGTTTATGGCAGCATTATTCACCATGGACAAAAAGTGGAAACAACCCACGTGTCCACTCACAGAATAAACAATCTGTGGGATGGTCGTACGGTGGAACAGCGCAAATGTCTGCATTAACAGGAGAGTGAATAAATACACAGTGACATATTCAGATGGTAGAACTGTGCAGAAAAAGAGAAAAAGAACCAGAGAGTTATACACACAATGACATGACTTAATCAGATAGACATCACGTTGTGTGAACGGAGTCAGACGCAAGTGAGCGTTTGCCGTCTGACTCCACTTCTGTCACGTTCATGAGCAGGCACGAGGCTTCCATGATGCTAGAGGTCATCTCTGCAAAGGGTGGGGGGGTTGTTACTGACCAGAACGGTAGGCGGGAACCTCCTGGGGCGTTGAAAACTCTCTACACCTTCATCTGTGGTGATGGGGATGTTCAAACATGGAGTTGCACACTTAAAAATTTATGTGATTTACTATAGACGTTACATACCAACTTTTTAAAAGCCGCATCAGGTAGGAACAACCTAATTATCCATCGATGGATGAACAGATAAGTAAATGTAGATACACAGACCCTGGACTTATTACCCATCCGTGAACAGGAAGACAGGAGCGAAGCAGTGATCAAGCTCCACATGGACGGATCCTAAAAACATTATGTTAAGTGAAGTAAGCCAGACAAAAAGGACCCCATAGTGTATGAGTTCATTTAGATGAAACATCGGAAGAGGCAAATCTGTACAGAGAGAAAGCAGGAGGGAACCAGGGGCCGGGGAGTGACTGCCTAATGGTGTGGGTTTTTATTTTGAAGTGATTAAAAAATGTGGGGATTAAATAGAGGTAGTGGTTCTGCAACATTGTGGTGTCCAAAAGTCACTGTGAAATGATTTCTTTTGTGTTACATGCATTTTGCCTCAATTTTTAAAACGTGGCATCAGGAAGATATTTTTTACTAAAAAGGTGGCTGCTGCTGCTCTCTGCTGCGTCTGGGCCTGGGAGGGTGAGTGGTGCCAGTGGTACCATGGCTTCTCTTCAGAGCCACACTTGTTCATCCTTATGAAGCCTCTTGGTAAGTGTTCCCTCCTTTAAACACTCCACTGCCATCTGCTGGAAAATTGTCATAATAAATACACAGATTCCCTTTAACATGGCACTTTTGTGCAATGTACAGCCTGCTCCCCTGTACATGGGGGGATATGGGCTCTGCTTTATTTTCAGTGTACCTGATCCCGATTTGGATGCGGCCCCGAAAACCTCAATGTTCCCACCCTCGAGCGGAATAAGGCTCGCCTGGGCTAGCCTGTCCCAGATTCGTTAGGGAGACGAAATCCGGGTGGTGCCTGATCCACTCATCAGTGTATTAAAACCTGCCTTTCTGAGCCACCTCCGGAAACAAAACTCCCTGAAGCATTTTTGGTCATTTCCACAGAAGCAGAGGACAGGCTGGAAGGTATCCACCAAGCTCCTGGCCACAGATTTGCCCGGAAGGAGAAGGGGTCAGCAACGTGGGAAGGAGGCCAGGGACAGGGCACTCGGATCTCAGCCGCTTCCTGGGCACAGCGTACCCCTCATAGCAGCCCTTCCCTGGCGCTACACACCCCTGCCCCTCCCCTCCCCGACATGGCTGCAGGAGATTGGCTGGGGTGGGAGGTGGCCGATGAGTCCCTCCCAGGCTCTTTTGTCTCTTTTGTGGGGAGCTGTAGTGCAACTCAAGCCCCTCACTGCTCGGGAACTCCAGCAGCATCCATCGTGGGCATGGCTTGGTGGGGGGCTGTTTAAGGCTAGCTCTGTCTTACTGAGAGAGAATGCAAGCCGCCTGGATAATGCAAAATGTCCTAGTAGCCATATTTTTTGAAGTAAAAAGAAACAGGTGAAATTAATGTTAATAATATGTTTTCTTTAACCTACCATGTCCCAAATATTATCATTTCAGCATTTAATCAATGAAAAAATTATTAGTAGATACTTTTTTTTTTCCTATGAAATCTTTGAAACCTGGGGTGTGTTTTGCTTCTCCTACCAATCTCAGTTGGGACCGGTCATATCTCAGGCACTAGTGGCAGCCATACATGGCCAGTGACTTGTATGGACAGCACAGTTCTAGGAATTCTATAAACCTGGAGCTGGGACAGTATGGGTAGGAAGTGGGGAGCATTAAGGGGACAGGACTTGAAACAGAAGTTACACACAGATTAAATGGTTTTTGCCTAGATGGTGTGTATTGAGGGGGCCTCCTCAGAGCCACCTGTGAGCGACCTCAAGCAGGAGAAGCTCTTGGGCGATCCCCTGGGGGGGTTCTTGCAGAACTGACTTGTGGAACTGCCAGGTTCACAGCTCTAGCCTCCAGCCCCACCGGAAAGCACGCATCGTCTATGTTAATTGACTTTTAAAAAGAAGAATATGTTCATTGACAGGAGCAAGACACGTAGGTCATAACCACGCATTCACAAGAAATGAATGAATGAATGCAACACGCCGATGTGAAGAAGGAAAGTAGCTCTGCCAGTGAAAGGGGGTCGGGGCCTGGCATCTGACCTTCATCTAACCCTAGAGACTGGAGTTTTGACCTTGAGCTGAAGACAACCCAGATGTACCTGGGGCAGCCAGGCTGCTGGCTCACTCGGAGCTGTGTCCCTCCTTGGACATGGGCCACAGTGGACCTAGTATCCTTTCTCCCGCTGCCTGTCATCCACCAGAATGCCCCCGCTTTGCTTCCTATACGCTTTCATTCATTTAATGACCCATTCATTCATTGAGTCAAAAGTGCACTGTATTGATCCTTGAAAACTAAGTGAAAAGAGCCAGTCACAAAAGACCACATCTTAGATGATTCCACTCAGATGAAAAAGTCCAGGAAAAGGGAAATTTATGGAGATGTAAAGTCCCATAATGGTTACTTAGGGCTAAGGGGAGGGGGGCATTTAGGGAGGTGACAGCTAAGGGGTGCCAGGTTTCTTCACGGAGTCACCAAAATGTTCTTGAATTGGCTGTGGTGATCTCTGCACAGCTCTAAATACACTAAAACCCCCAGAAAAACAGTCTACTTGAGTGGATTGTACATTTATGTGACTATATCTCAGTAAGGCTGTTTTCTAGAAATGCATCGAGCACCTACTGTGTGCCGGGCACACTGGGGACTCAGAAGCCAATACAACAAACGCCATCCTCTACCATCCTCTGAGGGAGGGTGGAAAATCGCTTTTCAGGGCGCTGGTGAAGAGCTCTCAACACCAGGGCGGGCTGGAGCGAGAGCCCCCGGGAGGGGGCAGCACTGAGTGGATCTTCCCAGACCTGGAGGAGGAGCCGGAAATGACCAGCCCCGGGGGAGGCTGGAGAAGGGAACAGCCTTCCAGGTACAGGGAAGAGCACGTATGGAGGCCTTGAGGCGGTGCCCGGCACTGGAAATGGGCGGCGGAAGGGAGGAGGAGGACCGGGGCCAGGCTTGAGCCGCCCACAGAGTGGCAAGGCCTCTGGGGTCCTTCTCTGAGGCCGGGTGGTGGCAGGGATGGACTTGATAATTTGGGAGCTGTTTAAATAGCGCCCTGTCCTTACTGGGGAGTGGGCCACAGGGAAGCAGATGGGGGGTGGGGGGGAAGGCGACACATCGCCTCCCACGTAACTATTAAGATGCGCCTTCTCCCTGGGAGGGGGCTGCCAGTTAATGAAACAGGAAGTAGCTCTCTGAGCCAACAGCCAGAGGACAGCAATTTGAGGACAAAGGGGCAGGAGGCAGCCGGCTTCTGGAAGATGGCAGGCAGGTGAGGCCTGGCTGACCTGGTTCACCCCCGTCTGCCTCTGGTGGCCAGGACTGGACAGATCAGAGGCCGGCCGGCCAGCAGGAACGCCTCTGCATTTCGGGGGGCGGGGGGCTGCGGCCTGGCCCCTGCCGTGGGGGCGGGAGGCAGCGTTCCAGGCCCCAGGTCCTTGACGTCAGTGTTGCCATGGAGACCCTGGCTTCCATCAGCACGTGTCGCAGCTGCTGGAGACCCCCTGGTTGGGAAAGCTTTGCAGGGTTGAGGGAAGCAGAAAGCACAGAGCTGGGACCTGCAGGCCTGCAGCGCCGCCAGGGATCAGGGTACCGAGACCCCACGAGGCTCCCTGCCCACCTCCAGCCTGCCCCCAACCCTCTTGCCCAGACAGAGCTCCTTTCTTGCCGCCTAGGAGATGCCCTGTCCTAAAACGGCCCAGGCGTCCTCCACGGCCCTCCCGCACAGTCACATACCAGGGGGGCATGCGCCCCCTAGCGGCCCCTCCCACCCCCACACTCCTGGCCGCATTGTTCTGTTTGCACCGCCCCCAAGGGATGTTTGTGGAGGCCCTCCTGGTGCCACATGGCGTTCGGGATGCTCTGCCGAGCTCCTGTGAACCTCAGGGCGACCCCAGAGGGAGAAGAGGCGCTGGAACAGGGACGCAGGGCTCTTGGGCCCAGGACTTATTGACGCACGCGTGTGAAAGTGTTTTCTTTGTCTCCAAACCTTGCCCAGTGAAATCTGTCTTTCCAAATTCGTAAAAGACATCTTCAGTAGCAGACAGTCCAGGCTACTTGAAAACTGCAGAGGGCCTCCCATTTCCGGTTAATTTCACCCTCTTCCCTTTTCTGAGTCCCATCTTCCTCCCTGGGGGGTGAAGGTGGAAGAGGACCTCCCATCAGTTCTTCTCCCTGATCTGGGCAGGAAGCAGCATGAAGGTGAGCAATACCTGCCTCGCCTGGACATAGGTGCAGGGCGGGGGTGAACTCGAGACCTGGGGAGGGGGGTTTCTACCCTGCTCCTCCCACCCCAGCCTGCGGGTGGTGATAACGCGAGGGAGAGCCGCCTCCCCTTCTTCCCTCTTCTGGGCTGGTAGCCCTCCTGAGTCACAGACAGCAGCAGCCTTGGCATTTGCTGTGGGGGTGGGGCGGTGGGGGCAGAGAGGGAGAGAGCAGGGTGTTTTATCAGGTAGGCCTGAGGGACTTAGGGGAGGGATGGGGTGGTTCTCAGCAGGAGGAAATGAAGCGGAATGGACTCAGGTGGGGCAGCTGCTCCCCAGGAGGTTTCCAGCTGTGGGCCAGAGTCTGTTCCTGGGCTGCCCAGCCTTGTCTGGCATGACCGGGCACCAGCCCCTTCCCACAATGAGCGGGAGCTGTGTTTCTCAGTGGCTTGCCTTGGCAAATAACATGGAGTTGGTGTTTAGAAAATGTTTGTGCATTCATTTGACGAATATTTATATGGGTCTACTAGGTGGTGAGCGCTAGGTTCTGTGGTGGATGAGTGGGTGGAGGGTGGGAGGGTGGAGAGATGGGTGAGTGGATGGGTGAATGAATAAATGAATGGACAGGTAGGTACATGGATCAATGGATAGATAAGTGAATAGGTGAGTGAGTGGGTGTGGAAAGGAATGAAAGGATGGTTCAATGGCTCATGAATGGATGTATAGTTACCTATTGCTATGGAACATATCACCCCAAAATTTAGTGAGTTAAAACCAACATTTATTATCTGGCTGTTCCTGTGGATCAGGGATTTAGGACTGACTGATCTGGGTAGCTCTGGCTCAGAGCCTCCCATGTGGCTGCAGTCAGAAGAGACTGAAGGCGTAACGTGGCTGGAAGATCTGCTTCCATGGTGGTGCCCTCGCATGGCTGTTGGCAGGAGGCTGCAGTTTCTCATCACATGGGCATCTCCATAAGGCTACTCAGGTGTCCTTGTGACATGGCAGCTGGCTGCCTCTAGAGTGAGTGATCAGAAAGAGACAGAGAGGTGGAAACCACAGTGCCTTATATGACCTGGTCTCTGACATCTCCTACCATCACTTCTCCTGTTTTTCCCCTATGTGGGGCCAAGCACTGCCCACTTGTAACCTTTTGTCCCAGAATAACCATGTGTCTACATGGCCTCTCCTTCAGGCAGTATGCTAGGTATATGGTGTGTTGATGGCCTGGGGCTGGCCAAATCCAGGCCCGCCCTGTCAATGGAAACATTGGGAGGCAGACCCCTCTGACCAAGGTTTTATTCCTTGGGTGCTGGTTGCACAAGAATGAGCCCTTCTTGTGAAGTATGTAGTCTGTCCACACACCCCATTTGAAGCAGTCCCCTCCCCGTTCACTAGATCAGTGCACAACCTCGTCCATCTGGCCCTTCCTGGACTCCCTGTACGGAAGTCCCAGTAAACCCTCATGACTCACATGGTGTCCCCAGGCCTTTCCTTCTGTCTCTGGGGCGGCCCACCCAGTTGGGCTTATGATCACACACCCTGTGGTTAGAAGCAAATTACTGAAGCCAGCGCACACCCAAGAGGTGGGAGATCAGTTTCTGCCTCTCGAAGGAGCACCAAAACTTTGGGGGCGGATGTTAAAGCCACCACAATAGGTGGATGGGCGGCATACCCACTGTTCTTCCCTAAGGCCGGAATCTTAGAATAACGTCAGACCTGCGCTCGAAGACTTAACCGTCATGCCTGCATGTTAAATTCATCAGGGACACTTTTAGAAGGTATCAGTGTCCAGGGCTAAAACCCCAGACAGTCTTGCTTAACTGATCTGGTGAGAGACTTGGACATTGTGTTTTTGTTTTTAGAATGATCTTAAACTTTGAGCATGAAGCCCAGCATTTATGTTTCTGCTACATTTTTTTATTGTGGTAAAATACACATAACAAAATTTACCATTTTGAGCATTTCTAAGTGTACGGTTCAGTGGTATTAAGTATATTCACATTAGGGTGCAACTGCCACACCCAGAAGTTTCTGCTTTTTCCAAATGGAAACTCTGTCCTCATTAAACAGTAGCTCCTGTGCCTCTGGTTACCTTTTTCCTACTTTCTGTCTCTGAATTTGACTACTCAAGGGACTTCATGTATGAGTGGGATCATATTTGTCCTTCTTGTCTGGCTTAATTCACTTGGCGATGCTGTGACGTGTCAGGACCGCATTCCCCGGATGGCTGAGCGGCGTATCCCATTGTCTGCGTGCACCACGTTCGGTGCATCCATTCATTCGTCGATGGACTTTTGGGTTGTTTCCATGCTGCTATTTGTTAAAGCTCCTGGTGGTTCTGATACGCAATTAGGGACGAAAACCAAGGCCTCAGACCAGTGGTTTTAATCCTGGCCGCATGTTAGAATCACCTGGGAGCTGTTAAAAAAAAATACCGATGCCTGGCGCCCAGCGCACACTCACCGAATCATGCTGTGGGGGTGGACACAGGCGTCCGCAGGAACAGAGAGCTCTTCCAGCATAGAAGCCTGGGCGTGCAGGCTCATGTCCGAGGCTCTGCTGCCCCCTGGTGGCGCAATTAACGACAGCCCTGGTCGCAAGAACGGGGTTCCTGCCTCTCCATTACTAGCTTGCCCATCCGTAAGGAGCCCAGATCAGCCAGCCTGGGGGTCTAGGGGCCCTGCAAGGTTCTGACTGCACCCTCCGCCCCCTACTTCCCAGCTGACCTCACGTGGCTCCATGTGTAGAGGAATGGGTGAGTTCATGAAACAGGAGGAGGTACAGACAGATGGAAGACTGCACCTGCTCCTTGGCAGCTGTGTGACCTTGAACAGTTAACCCCTGCCTCCGTTTCCCTGGCTCTCACGGGAGGATCCCCGTGGCTCCTTCTGACAAGTCCCTGAGCTTGCAGGTGAGTGTCTGTTGTGCTGGGGAGGAGAGCTTCTTGTCCTCGGCATCGCTGGCACTGGGTTCTCTGTGGCCAGGGTCCTGGGCCCTGCACGGCATTGAACAGCGTCTCTGGCCTCAACTCACTAGATGCCGGTGGCACCCCCAGTTTTAACAATCAAAAACGTCTCCACATATGGCAAACCTGGGTTTCAGTTTGTCAGACAAAGTGCAGGTTTCCCAGTTAAATTTGAATTTCAGATACGCAACTCATATAACTTTTTAGTATGATTATGTCCCAAAGATTGCATTTTTATTTGCTAAATCAAAGAAACTCCAGCTAGGGCTAGAATCACCCAGCTGGGAGCTACCACCCTAGTGGGATTTTTGATACCTGCTAAGACACCAGATGGGGAAGTTGCGGCAGTGGCCTGGCAGGGCCGGGGCACTGCCCCGAGTGCCCTCTGGGGGCAGGCCCAGCCGGGGTGAGCCAGGGACAGGCCGTGGCCGTGCAGGAGGAGGCTGGGCTCACAGTTGGGCCTTCTCCCTCTGGGGCCTGAGAGCCAGTGGTGTGATGTGCTAGGTGCCAGGCTGAGGGCTGGGGCACCTCGTTTCCCCAGCACCTGGGGCTGCTGGCAACAGAGCAGTTTGTGGCCAACCACAGTTGGGGCAGTAGTTCACCCCAGCTTTCCCCCAGAGAGAATCCCCAGTGACAGGGAGTCAGGCCCAACCTGCTCATTTGCAAGAGGAAGCAACAGGCCCAGAGAGGGGCAGTGACTGGCCCCGAGTCACACAGCCAGCTTGTGGCAGTGGCACAGCTGGCATCTGGCTCTTCAGGCCTGGACTTTTGCCCCATGTGGAGCCTGGGAGTGTCCTCTCAATTTCCAGTACATTCTCTGGAGCCCCCAGCATTTTCCAGACGTGGAGACAGTTGAGGCAGGCTTCCTGTTGAGGCTGTGTGGCCTGCAGACCCAAGCTGCTTTCTATACTATGCCAGGGAAGCGCTGGGACCCCTTCCTTGGGGCTGCCGCTGCAGCGACTGTCTCATTTCTGTCTGATGGGAAGAGGCGACGTGGGGAAGTGGAGAAGCACTTGGACTTGGAGTCAGACTGTCTAGGGCTGAATACTGGCTCTGCCCCTCCCCACCTGTGCCTGAGGCTCCCTGGGCCTCAGTTTCTTCATCTCTAAAATGGACTGCTGAAAACGATACCTGCTGTGTAGGGCTGTTGTTAGGATTCCATCAGTCAGCATGTACAAGCACTGAACACAGCGCGTGGCAGGTAGTGAGGTTTACCGTGTACCTCATTTTCCTCCCTTACGGTGACTCGACCCTTCTCCCTTGGGAAGCTAGTTCAGTGTGTCTGTCAGTCACAGCCACCACCACCCCCTCCCCCAAGGCAACCACTGCCCCCTGTTGCCCAGACAACGGGTCGATGAGTGAGACAAACCTGAGGATGGGCCTCACCTGAAGCTGGTATCTCCCTGGGATTCCCAATATATGAGACAATAAATCCCCCATTTTGCTTAAGAAATTTGCACTGAGTTCTAATCCCCACACTCCCTTTGTTCCTTAGAGCAGGAGGGGTTTCCCCAAGGTGGCCCCCTTCTCCCCTGGCCCGGGAGCCTTGGTTGGGATCCAGCCCCACACTAGATCTGTGACCTTCTGCCAGGGAGGCAGGTCTTCTGTTTGAGCTGCTATTGGAGCTTACAACAAGAGGAAACAACTTGTATAAAGTGTCTGCTGTGTGCCAGGTACTGTGCTGGAGCTTTGATGTTATTTTAATTGCATTTTACAAGTGAGAAAAACTGGCTCAGAGAGGTAAAGTGACTTGCCCAAGGTCACACAGCCAGGAAGTAGAATCACTTCACTGTAAGGAACCCAGATAGTCTGGCTCCAAAGCAGGGACACTTCCCACTGCACCAAGTGGCTGGTTACCTGCAGAAGGGATTTTTTCCCAGTAAATAAAATTTTTATTTTAATTTTTAAAAAACACAGATTTGTAAAAAATTCGTAACACAAAAATGTCTAATCTTTACCCCAATAGTAGTAGTGATTTTAAAAAGAATGTTTGCTGTGGAAACTTTTCTCCATCATTCTATACATTCACTGGAGAATAGAGGAATCACTACATGCTTGTTGTAAATGAACCCCCAGCGGAGGGCCCGGGGGTTGCACCCAGGCTGCCGCAACACTGAACTGCAGAAGGTGTGTCCACTTCTACGAGGCGTTACCGGCCCCCTCTCCTCCTCGCTGACCCAGTGCCAGGGTGCCCGGCCACAGAGAGTGAATCTTGATTAGTGTAAGTCCTCCTCCCACTGATTGACAGGCTGGGCATGTGACCTGGAGCAGACCTAAGAGAAATAAGTTGGGTTGCCAGAGCCTTCCATGATGACCTGTGGCCACACATGAATCTTTCTCTTCTCTAAGTTCCAATACCCCTTAGTTTTGCCACCAAATATCTTTGCCCTGGACCATTCTTTGTCTCTCCCAGCTTGAATTTTGCTGAGTTACACACACACACACACACACACACACACATACAAAGATTAAAACTTATGGACTGTATTCAAAATATTTAATAACCAGAATGACATGGGCACTGGATGACAACTGGCCTGTGGTAAATACCAGCTGGATGTTGACCCCAAGTACACCCCATACTGTGGGCAACATGGGCTGTGTGCTGGGGCTATAGAGATAAATTATGCAAATTTATTGCTCTCAAGGCAGGCAATCCGGTAGCTTCTGTAAGAAAAAGTAGGCAATTCTAAAACAGGAATGTTTCACATTTTTCCCTGTAAACCTGAGGTTCCAACCTTGGCTGCAGGTTAGAGTCACAGGAATTTGTCTGGGCTCTGATTCAGCAGATCTGGGTTGGCATGGGCATGTGGGTTATAACAAAGAGCCATAGGTTGAGAATCTCTGCTTTCAACAATTGATTCAGAAGCTGACTTTGTTGGCCAGAATTTATTCTTGAGCATCTGCCTGTAATACAACCATTTGACTATCCGTAGGAACAAGCCTATTAAAAGTTGCTTCCTTTTATTTTTTCTTTACTGCTTAGAAGGAAGAGGGTGTTTCGAGGAGGAAGAACGTGGGTGTGCTTCCGGGGCAACATGATGTCACAGAAATGCAAAAAGGAGGCAACCGGCCCCAAACGGAGTCACTGGTGCTAAACCCACATCACCGAACTGCAGCTTAAAACGTAATGTAGCGGAAGTTCCGACCTTTCCCTTGGAGTGTAATCTTAACCAGTCTGTAATTTCCTGGTCTTTACCAGCGGGGTGATATTCCTGACTGACACCTCTTGTCTCTTAAAACAAGGTGACCTTGCCTGAAACATCCACCCTTTAACTCTTCTGCCTATAAAAGCCTTCCTCCCTGTGCAGCTTCTCTGACCTCAGAATTGGCTAGATGGGATGCTGCCCAATTTGTGTATCATTGAATAAAGCCAATAGCTCTTCAAATTTACTTAGTTGAACTTTTTAAAAAAAACATTTTGAAGGACAGAATCTCACAGACCCTAGAAAACTCAACAAAGTGAATACCAGGACCCTAACGGGCATCTCTGCTGACCCTAAATTTGGTCAGATTAAAGTCCCAACGGTTAGCTCCCCAAGGCCATGCCACCACAGACAGAGCCAGAGTGCTGGCCAAAAGGAGGTAGAGGGTGCTTTCAGGCCTGCACAGTGTCTTCCAGCTTATAAATGCGGCGTTTTCTCGCCCCACATGGCTTTGCGCCGCAGGACCCTTCTCTCACCTCCTAGGGATCCCGATAGTCAGAGACCGCAACTCCCAGGAAACACCGGGGTCGGAAGTCGGGCGGCTGGCAATATAGTGGACGCACTATATTCTGGGAGATGTAGTCCACAGAGGCCGGAAGCTACCTGAGAGCGATGCATTCTGGGGAAGGTAGTTTTCAAGTCGTTTGATTGCCCCGCGTGGATACTGTGATCTCACCTGAGCCTAACGCAGCGGTAGGGGATTGACAGTGTTCGGATTTAGAGTTAAAATGTAGGATTTGTTTTTTGTCTGTCTCCGTCTCCAACATACAAGGAGAATAAGAGCTGTAACACTTCTGGGGTGGCAAGCAGGTCTGGATCAGTTACTTCTCGCTCAAGCTTCAGTACACAGGCTGCTTATCCTCCCTGAGCCTCTTGTTTCCTTATCTGTAAAATGGACAAACTAGTCATTCCACTTGGCAGGCTTGATAACACGGATCACGCAACTAGCAAAGTGCTTAACACATCCCTCTTCTCTTTGAATAATAGCAGTTTACAGAGCAATGGGTGTGCTTTGAAACACAGCAAGAATTTTGTTCCAGGAGAGCACTTTGGTCTTCATATTTGGAAGGTAGGATTTCCTCCCAATTCCAGCCAAAGCTCATAAGTGTAAGGAAATCTTGTTATACGGAGGCTCAGCGAGGATGGGTGGCCCTCCTAGCCAGAACACAGTGAGATGAAAATTAGGAAATGAGACAAGCTTCCGGGGCAGGCATCCTCACGCAGTATTTGTGGGAGTATTGGTAACTACATCCTCTGTAGAGGGCAATTTGTGTAGGTGCAGTGGTTCCACTTCTAGGAGTTTATCCTGCAAACATACTGGATACTTTCAAGATGACAGAAGGTTAAGAATATTCATTGTAGCACTGTTATATAAAACGAATGATTGGAAATCACCTAGGCATCTATGGATAGAGGACTAGTTAAGTCAAGTGTGGTACCTCCATCGGCTGGAATACTGTGTTGCTATTTCAAACAATGAGGTGTAATATCACCTGTGTAACATTCCAGAGCAAAAAATGTTTAAACTAAATCTGTTGTGATGAAAGTACTGAAGAAATATAAATTAATGGAATTTTGTGAAACTGGCTTAGACACTCAACACTGTCAGTGTCATGAAAGACAAAATAGGCTGGGGAACTGTTCTAGATTAAAGAAAACTAGAGACATGATTGTTGAGTTCAATGGATGGGCCTTAACTGGGGCCTGGATTTTATTTTTTTCTTTTCTTTTTTTATTCCTTCTTTTTTTTTTGGAGCCTGGGTTTTAAAAAAGGACTTCTTAATTAGACCCCTTGGGAGCAGCGGGGGAATGTGATTATGGGCTGCATATTAGTTAATAACATTGTATCAATATTGAGTTTCCTGAATGTGATCATTGTATTGTGGGTATATAGCAGCAAGTCCTTGGGAGGTACTGACTGAAGTATTTAGGACTGAAATACTGACTCTTGGGCAGTTCAGAAAAAAGACTGGAAACAGACAAGCAAATGTGGCATATATTAATAATCAGGGAATCTAAGTTTTGAAATGTGGCTTTTCATTTTCCTGTTCTTGCAACTTTTTTTATGGTACTGAAATTTTTGAAGTAAAAAAAGAGGGAGGAAGAATAATGTGGAGGCCCCCATATACATTGATAGGGGAGAGGCATCAAAAAATACTGGTAAATTTTTTTAAAAGCCAGGTGAGAGCAGCCAGTGTAGAGTGCTGCCTTTTTGTGGAAATGCACAAAAGGCTGACCCTGGAAGGAGACACAAGGAAGAGGTGACAAAGGTGCCTCTGGGGAGGAGGGCCCAGCTGGGCGGAGGGGAGGTCTGGGAGTGGGAAGGAGACTTCTCACACCCTTTCAGACCTTTTGGATTTTGTATCGTAGGCATGTATAAACGATTCAAATAAAAAATACTAATAACTTCAAAAAAGGTTGTTTCTGGGAAAGCGCTTGTGGTCAGGAAACCCCAGACTGGCCCTCCCCTACTGCCCAGCTATAGACCTGATGGCAAACCCAAAACAGAAGGAAGGAAAATCAGTTACTTTCACATCCTTTCCCACAGCACATCCTCATCGCAACCCAGTGAGCCAGGCAGGTTTTACGGGGCCCATTTTACAGATTTGGAAAACAGGCTCCAAGAGTCTTAGCAGCTTGTGTAAATTCTGAGCAAGACACAGTCCCCAGCAGGGATTGACACTGTCTTTCCTGGGGACCCGGCCTGGCTCCTTCCTCCTGCGGGTGGCCTCCTCAAGCCCTGAGGGCTAGAGGCGAGGGCCTGGGGTGGGAGGGCGAGGGCGGAGGTGACTTCCAGGCTCCGGGTGTTCACTGAAGCTCGGCCCAGCTGCCTTCCTGCAGCGGCGTTTACACGGGGCTCTCCAGGCAGGAAACAGAAGTCGATGCTGGTGGCCCAGAGCATGGGTTTGATTTACATGTTCATGCGCAACTGGTTTAGGGGTTTATTTGGTGGGGCTAACTCAGCCCAACAACCTCCTTCCTCAGCCCGTTTGGCCTGCTGGTGCATCTCTGTAACCTTAAATAAAGTGGTCTTTAAAAAAAATTTTTTTTAATCATCAGAGACGTGGGCAAAGATGCACTGCTTCTGAGAGCGACAGACACAGCCATCAACGACCCCCAGGAGGCCAATGCTGCATGCAGTGAAGGAACCCGCACAAGGAACAGCAGAGTGCAATGGCCGATAAAACACAATAAACAGGTTTGCTGCATTTGCTGACCTAGAAAGATAGCCACAATATAGTAAAAAAAAAAACAAAAACTGGTCCCATTTTAGAAAAAAAAATAGCTATAAGCATACGTATATATAGAGAGATGTATTTGAACAAACAGAAAAACAGCTTACAAAGTTAAATTATTTGACTAGAATGTAAAAATGGCATTTCATTTTCATTTCTTTGAAGATTAGGGAGGTTGACTGTTTTTTTTTAAGTTGGCCAATTGTGTTTCCTCTGGTGTGAGTTGCTGAAATATTACTCCTCCTTGATCTTCTGTCACAAGCAAATAGTGTAAAATTCTGGCACCATGTGTCATAAAGAGAGTTTCTGTTTAAAATTCCAACGCTTCCATTATGATGGTATCTTGGAAAAGAGGTTGCTGAACTTGAAGTGGAGGGCTCCAGTCTTAATGTAATGAATTATCCTGTGAGATAAAGAGTTCAGAAAAATAAAGGAGGATATTTCCTACACAAAGCATTACTCCTGTTTCTTCCCTTCTTTTAATTCTAGGATGTTCTTATAAAGTATGTTGTTGGGTTCTTGGTGAATAGTGTGAAACTGGAGGTGGTTTTGATGTTTGAAAGGAAGAGTGACGGGAATGAAAGACTGACCACCAAGGCCAGGGTCAGGGTGAAGTGAGGGGGATGCCCAGGATGTGCTCAGTGAAAATGTCAGGAATTGCACACTTTAAGGATAGGCAAAATTGGAGGTGGTGTTCACGCAGGCACTTCACCCATGCCATTCAAGCCCCAGCCCTGTTGGCTGTCTCTTGGTGACAGAACAAAAGATCTGTAAACAGCTACTGTACTGCAAGGCTAAAGTGGTGATGAGTATTTCAGCAGAACTAGACTGGAGGGTGCAAGCAGCAGACAGACACACTAATTTTGCATCTGGGGCATGGCAGCAGAGTCTTGGCCTAGATGAAATGGTGTCCCAGACCCCTTGTTCTGGACTACTTGGCATGTTGGCCGTGCCTGCTTCCCAGGAGGTGTCTGAGTATTAGACATGCTACACTGGGGTTCACAGTGGACCTCAAGAGATGGGGATCATTCATTTTTGTCCTTAAAAATTTTCTGATTCATTCTCCATTGATGATAGCAGCATGGCTGGTTTTCTCTGGACATGCCCTGTGTGCAGCCTTTACCTGCTGCCAGCCCCTACCTGCTGCCAGCCCCAGGTCCCGCCTCCCAGAGAAGGGAGGCAACCTGCAGGCCCTGGGTCCTCGGAGATCCCCTGACATAACCCGACATGATTGATGCTGACATTTTACCCAACTGGCTAGATGGGGCAGAGAGGCTATACACTGAAGAAAGGTGGGCTTCCTTGTCAACCTGAGCTTGAGAGCCACACCTGCTGTAGGTGGAAAGCCAGGGGCTGCTGGGACAGGGAGGAGGCGGGGAACGGAGAGCTCCTGACGTAACACAGCTGTCACTTATTAAACTCTTACTGCGCACCAGGCATTGCATTTAGCACTTCACATCTAAAACCTCACTGAATTCTCATCACGGCCTTTAGAGGTAAGGACTCTGTTATCTCCAGGTTGCAGATAAGGAAACTGGGGCCCGGAGAAGGTAAGCAACCTGTCTGACCACAGAACTAATAAACGGCAGAGCCAGTATTTGGACCCAAAACTCCAGGGCTGCTTTCTTCACTCCGAAGCTCCCCCCTCCTCCATTATTCATGACCTCTGAGCCCGCTGAGTGCTGGCCGCTGCGTGAGGGTTTGCTCTGTCCCCGGCGCTGGACCTCTGGGCTCCCCAAGGCCGCAGGTCTGGAGGCCCTCAGAACTCTAGGGTATCAGGACATCACTGTGGGGTTAAAGCAGGTTCCATCTTCCCGGTGGGGGGAGGTTCCAAGAAGCTCAAGCCCAGCTTGTCCCCTTTTCCCCAAGGGGAGGCGGCAGTATGGGTTGGGACACGTCCTCTTTTCAAGTTCTTTCTCGCTGCTTCTGACCACTTCCTCTTCTCCCCGGGGTGGGGGCAGCCGTGGCCGCAGTAATGGCAGCCGTCCAGGCGGTGGCTGAGGAGGCCTCTGAGACCCTCTGGAAGGGCTCACCAGCTGGGCCGAGGGCACTTGTCCACCCGAGTTCCATCCCCGCCTCCCCAAGACCCCCTCCCGAGCGCAGCAGGTCCGGGGACAGGCTGCCTGAGCTCTCCCTCAGCCAGACCAAAAATGTGACTGCGGCTGGTCACCTCTCCATTCAGGCTCTACCCAGGCTGCATCCACTTCCTGCGACTTCCACTGAGGGCGTGGCCCAAGTCCAGTACCCCAGCCTGGACAGCCAGACCCCTTAGGATGCCCCGGAGGCGAGGCCCTCAGTCCTGGGTGGGGGCCCCGGTCCAGCACGGGGCACCTCAGCGATGAGCACCCCACACGGGCCGAGGAGCTGAGGCATGGCAGGAGGGTGGGTATCAAGAGATGGGGGTTCCAGGTCCGGCTCTGCCACTTGTTAACTGGGGCCCTGGGTGGGTTGCTTTTCCTCTCGGGGCCCTGGTTTCCTCATCTGCACAATGGGCATAAATAATAACACCTCTAAGGGTTGTTGTATGAAATAAATGAGGTGCTTGATGTATTGGGCTAAGCACAGAACCTTGTACACAGCAAGTGCTTAATAAAGGCATTAACTATTGTTAAGCAGAGCCTGCAGCTGGCCTGCGCCATTCAGGAGGCCTCCCCGCCCCACTCCCTGCTGAGAACAACCAGTCCCAGCTGCCCCAGTAGCCCCCGGCTTTCCACCTACAGCAGGTGTGGCTCTCAAGCTCAGGTTGACAGGGAACCCCACCTTTCTCCAGTGTATAGCCTCTCTGCCCCATCTAGCCAGTTTGGTAAAATGTCAGCATCAGTCATGTCGGGTTCCCCCAGCCCAGCGTGGTACCAAAGCCCTGGAGTGTTTTTTTTTTCCTTTTTTTTTTTATTGTGGTAAAATATACATAACATAAAATGACCCCTTTTCAGGTGGGCAGTTGAGTGGCATTCTCACAGTTCTGCAAACATCACCACTGTCAATCTCCAAAGTTTTCTCATCTTCCCAAACTGAAGCTCTGTCCCAATTTAACTCTAATCCCCTTTCCGCCTGGCACAGCCCCTGGCTACCACCATCTATTTTCTGTCTCCATCAGTTGGACTGCTCTACAGGCCTTGTATAAGTGGACACCTACAGTACCTGTCCCCTTGTAACTGGCTTATTTCAACGGGCATGATGCCCTCAGGGTTCCTCCATGCTGTAGTGCGTGTCAGATTTTGCCTCCCTTTTATGGTTGAATAATATTTCATTGCATGCACAGACCACAATTTGTTTATCTTTTCAGCCATCCGTGGGCATTTGGGCTGCTGCCACACCTCGGCATTGTGAGTACCGCTGCTGTGCACATGGGTGTGCAAATATCTGTTCAGGTCCCTGCTTTCAGTTCTTTTGGGTGTATATCTAGAGGTGTAATTGCTGGGTTGTATGTAATTCTGTTTGATTTTTTTTGAGGAACTGCCAAAATCCTGGGGTTTTAAGTAGGACCCAAATGTTGCCTGGGGAGGCCCCTCTGGCCATACTCTGGGCAGGGAGGTATGCAATCAGGAGCTGGACATCTTGGGTTCAAATCCTGGCTCTGCCACTCTCAGTAGCATGACCTTGGGCAAGGTACGTGCCTATTCTGTGCTTCAGTTTCCTCAGCTGTACGGTGGGATGAGGGCAGTGCCCACCTGCTGGGACTGCTGGTAATCAGAGTGTTTACTTAGAACAGTGGCCCGGCACAGGAAGCACTCTGCTCACCGCTGTGTCTGTGGTCCTGCTGAGATCTGACCCTGCAGTCTTACTGCTTCCTGTTGCAGTGGCCCCACACCAGCCTGAGCCCTCTGCGGAGCACCCCTTTGGAACTAGCCCTGGTCCCTCCCTAGGACTCAGATTTCTTTTTCCCCTTTTCTGGGTCTCTGGGAATCTCCCTTCATTTGGAGGGGAGTTCCTCTCTCTCCCTGTTCATGGCTTAAGCTTTTGAAGTCAAAAGCCAGGAAGTAACGCCTTGAATGAACTCCGGGAGAGCTTGAGCCAGGACCAGCAGGGAAACGGAGGGCGCTGACCAGCAGGCCGGCATGGCACAGGCCAAGGGGAGGCCAGCCCGGGTCACTGTGTTTGCAGAACAGTGTGAATGTACTTCTTCTTTCCTTTGACCTTGACCGTTCCATCCCTAATGACTGGGTCCTGAGCTTTGGGAGGGGTAGGGGGAGCTGGAGACCAGGGAAGAGGCTCTGGGCCGGCACACAAGGAGCCAATGACGTGGTGCTTTCGTCTGGACGGGAGTTGCTGGGGGACTGGGCTTAGCAAGGGGTGGCGGTGGAGGTGAGATACCCCATCCCTGGACCAGCAGCCGGGGCTCCATGGCTGGGCCCGGGGTAGTCTGGCCCTCCTCCGGCGGCGGAAGCTAAGCGGTCAGGATGGTGCAGGCTTGTCTGGTCTGGGGCCCCTCCCAGCTCCGGCCCCTGGGAGCTGCTTCTGTGGACCCGGGGTGACTCCAGGAAGAAGGTCAAGGCCAGACCTGACAGAGTGAGGACTTCGGGGACCATGGGGACCACCCTGGGGGTCGATCCCAGGTCCTGGAGACCCGCTTCTAGGCTTGCCACCTCCACCTCTGACAGGAGGAGACAGAAGCCTCGGGGATGCCCCTCACTGGCCCCCTTCATTCCATTCCTTTCCTTTCCCATCCAGGTTTTCTCTGTTCCTTTCACTTCATACCAGGTGGTAGGTGGTTTGGAAATTCACAAAGCAGTGCACTTCCCTAGACAGTTTATCAACAGCAAGGACCTTTAAGGAGTCAGCACTCTGTACCTGCTGTAGTGAATGACTTTTTGTACGGCCCTCTGGCAGAGGTCCCAGTGGGACCACTATTCCCCCAACACCTCATTTTCCCAGCATTGTCAGAGCAGGCCTGTCTTAAATACTTGCAGAGATCCCCCAAGAGGTGCTAATACCTGCTTTGGGGTATTAAACAGAATATGCCATAAAGATGCAGTAGACTGCCATGTAGAAATTGCCTGGCACTTGGTAGTTATTTAAAAATTAGGTATTGTTATTTTTTATTTTAAAAAGTTGTTATTATAGAAAAAGGGAAGACATTGCTTTTTAAAAAATATTTATAGAACACCTTCTATGCTCCAGGTACTGCCAGTTGGGATTCTGCCCTGGGAATCAAGCTGATTTTCCGAGCCTAGATCAGAAGCAGTGAGCCCCGCAAAGGTCATCACCCTAGCAACAGCACAGAGGGACGTGTAGGAGGAGGAAGAACCAGCTGTGCATCCTTAGGCAAGTTGCCTGGCCTCTCTGAGCCCTGTTTCCTGATCTGTGAAGTGAGGCTGGGAATCCCCCCTTCCCCTTCTATTGGGGTGAGGGTCAGATGAGATAAAACACACGGTCAGTCTTGACAAGGAGGAAAGTGCTGCCTGGCCAAGCAGAGAGGTGGCCATCCATGGGAGATAAG